CCAGAGTCTGCTGATTCTACTGCTCCCGGTGATGGTAGTGGAGAAGGAAACGAAAAGACTGCTGCTGATCTCGGTTTCTCAAATGACGATAGAGACGATGGCGATCAGGATGGTATATATGATATTTGTCATGTAATTTTAGGTATGACGCAAAGTCAGACGGTTTCGATGACTCAGGGTGCTAATGCTTACGAAATTCCTACTCGCTTGCGTACTTTGCACAATCTTGTGATCCAGTATGCCAGTGAGGGTAGATATGAGGTTGCTGTACCTCTTTGCAAGCAGGCTTTAGAAGATCTGGAACACTCTAGTGGACGAGACCACCCAGATGTTGCCACAATGCTTAACATCCTTGCTCTTGTCTACAGGTTATTCAATATTCCCAATTTAATTAAATTAGAGATCAAGGTAAATATAGAGAGGCTGCTGGTCTGCTTACTGATGCCCTTAGTATACGTGAAAAAACGCTTGGTGCGGACCATCCAGCCGTAAGTTCGAATATTCAGAGCCTTATTTTCTTTCTAATGTCTTATCTCATCCTATAGGTTGCCGCAACATTGAACAATCTTGCGGTTCTCTATGGTAAACGGGGAAAGTATAAAGAAGCAGAACCACTTTGCAAGCGGGCACTTCTCATTAGAGAAACTGTTAGTTATTTTTATCTTGGATAATTTTTCTCGAATTGCATTTTAAAATATACTAATGTTCCAGGTCCTCGGGGGTGACCATCCTGATGTCGCCAAACAACTCAACAATTTGGCGCTTCTTTGTCAGAATCAAGGAAAGTATGAGGAGGTGAGCAAAATTATTTCATATACTTGGTACTTATTTGTTGTAACTATCTTAAATATTTGGCGACAGCAATTTTTGAATTGATTTGGCTTTCTATTTGATCTCTGTGTATCTACAAGTAGCTCCCAATTTTGTGTCCTTAGTTTGGCACATCTGGTACAAATCATATCTTTGTATTGTAATGGCTCGTATAAAAACTATCCTAGCTGTTCTGTTGTTGTATTTGTTATAGACAACTACCAACTTCCATAAGTTTGTCCTTTACTGGTTTGGGCTTAGTCATTATTGCTAAAAGGAGGGTCCCTAATTGGTATCCTAAAAAACTCAAATCAACTTAGTTGCTCACATCTCTGATGCTTTTTCTACAATGCAGAAAGGAATTTTAATACATTTAATTTTATCTTTTCTTTACTGCTCCAATGTCAGGCTCACAGTTTGTTGCGACGGGCCCAGGCAATTTATGAACTATCCCTTGGCCCAATAAGCACTGGTGTCATTAATACCTTGAGCTATATGGTGAGAACCCTAGAAAGTAAAGGGGAAACCTCTGGCTATAGTATTTCGTTATCTGAATTTCTTAATATCTCAAAGCATGCAATACGCTTACATATTCCAATCGTCTGCTTCAATTAGAGTTTTGGGTACTTTACCGTGAAGCTGTGTTAGATCAATGTCTCTTCCAGATCACTTTTCTTTAGCTATATTTACATCTACTTTGTGTGTTTATTTTTTGCATCACTTTCCAACTTATCATCTCTGCGAGCAATATCTTATTTCCATTATGCATGTATGCCTCGGGTACTGTTCATCTGCCGCATGTGGGCGCCTCCGATCCTCACTGCATGATGATTTCAGGTCGAACTCTACTACCAACGTGCCCTAGAAATTTACATCGACAACCTCGGACCAGATGATCACAATGTAGCTAAAACAAAAAACAATTTGGTATGTAACATTTGCTTGTGCTTGTATCCACAAGATCCGCAACACGAAGTTCTGAAAACGCACCTCAAGTCACTGCATGCTTATATTCTTAGGCAATATTTTAAACATGACATCTTGAATATTTACTCAATGTTTTAGGTCATATTTTTTATTTCTATTACTCTTCTTTCAGTTAAATGCATCATACATGTAGCTTAAGGCTTTTATATCATCCATACAGCTTTTTAAACTTGTTGTGCCTCATGGGTATCAGAAAGTCTATTTTATTGCTTTCATCTTATTATTTCAGATTTTCATTCTGATTATTTATTGTTTTCCGTTAGCCTTCTGTTTCATAACGCACTTGTTTTCTTCATTTCGCCTGTAGGCATCTGC